CTTGTTGTCATGTTTATTCATGAATTTTCAGTTTTGATTTTTTTGACTTTCATGTAACTTTATTTTTGTCATTATTTTTTAAAATTTTATTTTATTAGCACATGTATGCAGTACATGAAGTTTATATTCACCTTAGGTAGTAAGTCCATGTACATAATGTGGTTTGATTCTTTCTTGTTCTCCTTCCCTTCCCCACTCCCTCCATGTCTACATTCCCTTTCCCCATTTTCATTGTTATTGTTACTGTTTTCAATTCATGTTTACGACATACAGTGTCTACATTCCTTGTGGGTATATGGTCCATGTATGTTACATATCTTCAATCTTTTACATCCCCATCTCCCACACTCCCCCTCCATGTATCTCAGACCCCTTCCCATTTGCAAAAGGCCTGTCTGTTTCCTTCCATTCGTCCTTTATTTTGCTCTCTATTTATGCGTTGCCTTACTCAAAAGAGAGGTACCATACATATTTAAGCTTGTGTATCTGATTTATCTCACTTAACATTATGTTTTCCAGGTGTATCCTTTTTAACTTATGGGGATAAACTCTTTAGTTTTCTTCTTATTATTATTTTTTAAAATAAACTGTGTATGTTTAAAGTATACAACATGTTATATATATAAAGATGAAACGGTTACTATAGTGACATTGTTTTGCAAGACAGCTATAATCTATCCATTTAGACATAACCTCAAATACAGTATACTTTAGCAGTAGCCTTGATGTGTAATTTTATTGCATCATGTTCAGAAAAAGAAGCTGAACCAGTGTTTCTGTAGTTTTCACTATTGAGATCTTTATAGCCTAATTTGTTATCATTTTAAAATTAATGTTAAATATGTGCTTAAAATGAGTATAAGCGTGTGTTAATACATACATTAAAGTAATATGTTAATTCTGATATTCAAGTCTGTAGATCCTTTACTTATTGGTTATCTTGGTTTGTTAATGTTAAGCATTTTCTGTTTGTCTCGTGTTATCATTGTAGATTTGACAATTTTTCATTTTACAGTTTCATGTATTTCAAAGCTATGTTATCAGGCCTTTACTAATTTATGGTTATTACATTTCTTAGTAGATTTAAGATTCATTCTGTGGGAAATAGTAACTTCATTTATTGTTTTGTGAATTTTGTATTGTCTGCCATCAATACTACTGTATCATACTGTTTTCAAAAAATATCTTTTTCAGCTATATTTTTTCATTCCTTTATTTTTAGATTATTTCTTTTGTTTTAATTTTGTGTGTTCTAAATAGCATTTTGGTGGATCTTCCTTGCTTTTTAATCTGAGCTTTTCTCTTAAGAGGGGAATTTGATTCTTTTATGTTTATTGTAATTATTGATATGTTTATATCGACTTCCTTTTTATTTGGTACTTCCCTGAGCATGGTTTCTTACTGAGAATTATTCCTCCCACTCCTCCCCTTCTTTTCCCTTTATTGCACTTTTTTCTTACATTCCCTTTTCTTTAATTTGTTTGAAATTTGTGCATTTTATTTATATAAATCTAGTGTCGCCTTTTAAGACTTCATAAGCATACTAAAATTTGTGCCTTGGGAGTTAGTGTGTGAAGTGTGTCTTGGTTGAGTCAGAAAGTATCAACATGGTATTATTTTGCTGTTTTTGCCTTCTTGCACATCTTCCGTCAGTCCAACCAAGTTTTATACTATTTTGTTTTTTGAGATAGGGTCTCACTGTGTAGTTCAAACTGGCCTGGAAATCACTATTTGGCCTAGGCTAACCTCAAACTCATGATGATTCTCCTGCCTCAGCCCTCTGAGTGGGGGGAGTACAAGTGCATGCCACCACACCCAGCTGCCAAGTTTTGTATTGTGACAATATAGAAATTTATGTCTGGATTATTTTTCCAGTGGGAAGTAAAATTGCCCTGTATTATTGCATACGTAAGCAACTTAAATATAAGTGATACAAAGTTATTGTCTCTTTTAATTTCAAAAACACTGGGTTTTTATGGTAGCCATTTTTGTCTGAAAATATGCTTGTTGAATAATTTTTCTATTTAGATATAATTACTCCCTGAAGTTTTCTGGGAGAATTCATTTCAAATGTTGAGCTTCTTATTTTTATAGTTATGGCCATTCTTTTATTTACTGCCCATTAAACATTTCATTTCACTGAATAAATTTTTAATCTCTTAAGATCTCCAGTTGTCTCTTTTATTAATGTAATTTATTTATTTATTTATTTATTTTTGGCAACGCTGGGGTTGAACCCAGGGCCTTACCCTTACCTGATAGGCAAATGCTCCACCACTGAGCTACATCCCTAGGTCAATGTGGTTTAATTTTTTAAAGGCTGTGATATCTTCATATCCAAAGTTATGCTTACTTTTATACAGCACTCTGAACTCTCTTCCCTGGGTTTTAGTTTATCTGCCCATTAAACTTTATTTCATTCAGGGTATTGATTTTCCTGAAATGGTTTGTGATTTTTGGTTGTATACTCACCTTTGTATTTCATGATCATTGACAGCTTACTCTGTTTTCTCTAATTTTTCTCTATTGACAGCATGAAAGAGGCAGTGCTTGCAGTTTGGGGGACAGAGAAACATTGCCTTTTCTCTGGGTGTTGGTTGAGTCTTTTCTCTCCGTCTCTAGCCCAGATACTACGTTCTCAGCTGTCTCCTCTTGCTGTTGTCCTGGTAGACTGCTTGGGAAGACGCTGTGCGCTCTCTGTGGATGAGTCTTGTGTTTACTCACAAGGTCTGGCTTCTTTCCTCTAATAGTCTTCTCATCATGCTGGGGCTTTTCTTTGAAGTTTTGATCCTAATCGCTTTTAAGTTTTCCTCAGAATTTCTAATTAGATATTGGCACTTTTTTTTCCATTTCTGATTCTATCATTTTTGACAAGTATCTTCTCAGTCACTATATGGAATTTGGAGTGAAAAGGAGATAAGAGTATATATTTAAACTGCTGCATAGAGTCTTTAAAAATAGTGGGAGTATTTCCCTGATGTTGTGTGTTTTTAAATAAATGGTTCAGGAGCACACCCCAAAAATGGTGTTCAAGCTTAGGACTCGTGTTCTCTGGATTTTATAAAAAGTTCCTTTACTAAGCTTCCGAAGTTGGTTATTAAACACCACGTTTTACATACAGTGCAGTTCTACTCTGCCATGCAGAAGGATAAACCTGAGGCATCTGTAGGTAAGTGGGTACGCTTGGAGACCATATTGTTAAGGGAAATAAATTAGTCACGCAAATGTAAATAATATACAGTTGTCTTAGATGAGAAGCGCAAAATGTAAATAAGGATGGGGAGTAGATGAAGACATGGTGGGAGAGAGGAGGGAAGGAATGGAAAGGGGTTGAGAGAAAGTGGAAGAAAAGAATGGAGGGGCTGGGGATTTAGCTCAGCGGCAAAGCGCCTGCCTGGCAAGCGCAAGGTCGTGAGTTCGGTTCCCGGTACTGGAGAAAAACCAAAAAAAAAAAAAAAAAAAAAAAAAAAAAAAAAAAAAAAGAATGAAAACAGAGCTTTTGTCAATGGGAAGGGGAGTAAGAGTTGGAGGGAGCAGGGAAGGTGATGGGGGGAAGGGGCCAAAAGAAAAAAAAGAATGAAGATGGTGTGTACCTGCACCAGCCACCTCCCCAGGGTAAATGTGATCATTCTGTACTGTAAACATGTGCTAAATTTTTTTTTTTAAATCACGTTGAGTTTGATCAATCTTGCATTCTTACATCTGATAATCTGAGCAACTTCGTTGAAGATCACAATATGTAACAACCCCTGTTAATTCCTATCATTTTGTGCTAAAACCCTGTGCCATTTTTATTGTTTTTGTTTTGTTTTTGTCTGTATTGTTATTTTGTTATTTTTTATTCTCTTTAAAGTAAAAAATTAAAAAAATAAAGTTGATTATTTATGAATTACTGTGAGCTTTAGCAACCTCTTATGAATTCTGTGTACTGTGATCAGACAGCGCCTCTGGTAAGATGTTTTGAATTACTTGTATAGTTGTAAATAATTCATGTTTTGATATCACCTTTCGTAGCCTCACTGAATGTTTCTGCCCCACGGAGGACAGTACTTCTCTTTTCTTACTCCTTGGTTGAATTTGGGTAGGGGTTGAGCCCAGCAAAAATCACTCTTAGAACTTTTTGGGTCATTTGATGGATTTTAATCTTAAGGAGTAATTTTGTTTCAGCTAATCTTAAGTATTGGCTAACATACACACAAGGGAATTCCATTTTGTGTAAAGATATATGAATGATGCATCTTTGTCTATTTGGAAATGTACAGATTCCAAAGGTGTTGGAAGAGTCCTTTTCTATGACTGAATAATGTACCGCCGTGCTTTACAGCAGGAGTCAGATAGTAAATATTTTCAGCTTTGTCCATTGTATGATCGCTATCGTCGTTGCAGCTCTGATATAACTAGAAAGCCATGGACAATGTGTAAATGATGAGCATGATCATTCTAATAAAACTTTATGGTTACGAAAGTTCACTTTTCCTATAATTTTCACATATTATGAAATGTCATCTTTTTGATGCTGCCACCAGTAAAAACAATAAAAACCATTCTAAGCTTATAAACTGTGCAAACATAGCTAGATTTGATGCACTGGTTACAGTATGCCAGTTCTAAATTTAGAGAATTATACCATGGAAAATATTCATGATATTTTGAATTAAAAAAAAAAAGATGGTGAGCTAGTATATATAAGTGAAATCCCAACTGTGTAAAAGAAAGAAAAAGCAGCTATCAGCAAGGTAAGACTAGAAAAAGAAATATCAAAATATTTGGCTCCTTGGTTAGATTATGGGTAAATTTAATTTTACCTGGGTTCATTTGCATGTATTGGATTTTGTACTCTGAGTGTTTATTATGTTGTTTGTAAAAATATTCTCATCTTAGAAAAAAGTTATTTAGCAAGTGACAGAGAATCTGTACATCTCCAGTAAGATCAGAGTATTTATTGTTAATTAAATATGATATGGTCTGTTTTGCTTACTCTCTGTCTGCTTCATTTTTAGCCAACAAGTCCCAAATTTGGCAAAGCTGACTCCTACGAAAAACTGGAAAAATTAGGGGAAGGATCTTACGCTACTGTTTACAAAGGGAAAAGCAAGTAAGTTCATTATTTTTTTTAAATATGTAAAATGAATACTAAATAGCAATGTGTTTAAGTGATAGATTATAAAACAGCTTTTTCACCCGTTTTTTATAAACAAATGTAAAAGCCTGTGGAATCTGTTACTCTGTTAGGAAAGTTTCTCAGTCTTACCCAGTTGGTCTTTCTGCTTAACTGCTTCCCTCAGCTTTGTTTTCTTCTGGGTGGGGTTGGATCCCTCTAGCGACAGTTCATTTCCAGGTGAGTGATGTGATTATTTTCTCATGAATGTCGAGTGTTAAGCATAAGAGTAGAGGTTTGACAAAAACTAAATGTATACCATTCTTGATGTCTTTTTAAATTGAGCTTTTACTCCATATTTCAGAAGTCACTTGGTTTTTAAAAAAAAAATGCAAATTTTTCTTTCTACCTGCCATCATCTTCCCACAGAGAAGCACCTCTTTTCCTCCTTGTTTTCTCCTTTCCCGTTGCTGTTCTGGGGTCAGGACACAAACTTGGATTTTTAAAAATCTCACTGCCGTATGTTTCTGATCGTTGTTCTCTCTCTCCCTTACTGAGTAAGGACAGAAATTCATATTTACTGGCATGTAGCTTGTGGAGAACACAGTGGTATTTCTGAAGTAACTATAGGAGACATAAGCCTTAATAACCTTACCAAATGATGTTGAAAAATAATTTTGTAAACCATCTGTGTTACATCTCTTAATAATCTTTATAGAAGATATAACTTTCTAACCTAAGTAACTAAATAAAAAACAAGCAGAAGAAAATTCTGTGGAGGATCAATCCAAACACATAATCAGAAATATTATGCTAATTTATATAATCTGACTATTTTGGAAGCAGACTCTTAGGTTTTTCTTTGTGATTTTTAAGTTTAGAAAATGAAGAAATACCCCTTCTAAAATATTCCTTGTGGAAGAATATATGTAAGTAAAGAAATACAGAAATGCTGTAAGTTAAAAATAATAGTATTTTGAAAGCTGTTAAAATTTTGATTTTTTTATTTGAATAAAAAAAGCAATATTCTGGGGAATAGAAAACTAAACAAATCCCAGAGGGCTGTTAATGACTTAACGGAATTACTTGAGAATGATAGAATGTCAGAGTAATAGTCTCGACAGTTTTATCAGAGGTCATGTCCCATGTTTTTATATTCTTTCCTAAGGGAAAAGAGTAGTACTGTACTGCATAAAACATACTTGTGAATTTTAGGTTGATAATATGGGCTCAATGTCCTTTGTTAAACAACCCCTTTGTTTAAAGTACGGTAATACCTTCTTTTGCTTTGTTTAGTCCTCGCATTACCCTAGACGTGGGTTAGGTTGTTGTCATTTGACCACGGAATAATGGTGTATACCGAGGTCACGTGTCTGTGTTCACACAGGTGCTTAGCACCAGGGCTTATTTTAGATGTGTCTGTCTGGCTTGAAGCCATTTCTCCCCAACTATTACACCATTATTGCCTGTACATAGTGGCAGGCCTTGGAAAGATTCGGTCCTTGTTGAATACTGCAGATGGTTCTTCCATATGCTCTGACTTACTTTAATTGTGACTCACACAGAAGCAAATGCACCTTTCACTAGAAAGAAACAGACCAAGCCCTTGCTACTGCCTGCCTATAAAAGATGTGGTCAGCTCATGTGCAAATATAAGTTCGTAACACCATTAAACATTTAACTCGAGGATTTGTATCAAAATCTTACAAATGAGAGATTTTTCATCTGTTCTACCTGGATAAAAGAAAAGACTTAAAACTGCCTATAAACTCTGAGGGGGATAGTTCTGGACGATCGATAGTTTTCACTCCAGAGCTCTAAGCATTTCTGAAACAGTTTCAAGCCTGCTGGTCACGTGTAATATTTAATTTCCTCTCACTGGAGATGACAGCCTGCCTGCATTTGCCTGCATTGTACCCTGATGTTGGTGACATCAGGGTACAAGGGTTGATCAAAAAAATGCGACAAGTGCTTAATAAATTTATTTCACTAAAAGACACGTTGCCATTAATAATGATCAAAATATCCAAAATACTGCCCCCTCGCTTGAGATACAGCTATCCCACCATTCTTGGCAATGTGTCTTTTATGGTAATACGTTTTGTAAAAAAATTAAGTGTTCACTATGTTTTTGATCATCCCATGGAATGTGTCATATAGTGGGACCCAAGGGCTGAGTTTGTTTGCTGTGTCCCTCAAATGTTTTGTAATTTAAAGAGCCAGCTAAAGTAGATGTTGGATGTCATTCCAGTACTCCTCATCTTCTCCTATAAATGTCTGGGTCCCTGCCCCCATCTTTGGATGTATCTTTAGCATTATCTTCCAAAGCAGCTCTCCGTCATGCACTAGAGCTGCCTGGTAGTTGTAGAGATTCCTGTGAATTTCAGTTGGAGATATACATGTTATTGCTTTATCTGTGTTGCATTTGGATTTTACCATGAAGTTCATTGTGTTTGGTAGGACTGCCGTAACACAATCCACAAACACAAGTTTATTGGCTCACAGTTCTGGAGGCCTGAAGTCTAAGGTGAAGTTTGCAGAATTGATCCCTTCTGAGAGTGCTGAGGGAGAATCTGTTCCCTGCCTCTCTGTGAGCTGCTGGTGATGTGCTGGCCGTGTCTGGCATCCTGCACCGTAAATTCGTCACCTTGCTCTCTGTCTTTGTCGTCACATGGTATTCTTCCAGTGTGTGTGCAAGTGTTGTGTCTCTCTCTGTGTGTGTTCCCCTTTTGTTCAGGACAGCAGTTATACTGGATTAAAGCCCTCCCTCAGGACCTCGGTTCAACTTGATACCACTGGAAAGGTCCTGTGTTCAAATGAGGTCACATTCCGAGGTGATGGGAGGTGGAGCTTCAACAAATCTCGTTTTGAAGACACAATTCAATCCATAACGGTTATTAATTTCAAATCTCCCTAATTTGGCATGGCACTCATGACAGTGTTCTTCTTTTTCTACCTGTGGTATATCTCAGGTATCCTTTATCTGAGCATTCTTCTTTACCCAAAATAAATAAAGTGTATTCCCCTTATCAAAAGGTTGCTATAAATCTTAATTTTGGAAGAGTTGCAGTGAGCCATGATTTAGAAACTTGAGGAGGAATAGAGTTTTTATTACTTTTGAATTCTGAGTGTCTTATTCCTTAAGGGACACATAGGTTGGGGACCAGGGACTGAAATTTCTATACAGGTGGCCCACTTTGTAGCGAGCTTGGCTTCTAAAGAATTTTTGGCTGACTATAATACATCAACACACAGCACTCAAAAATGCAATTTATTTTTTAAAAAAGCTTTGAATGTATCACACTTTCATATTTGAGCAGAGTTTTTTGTTTTGTTTTGACCAATATTTCTGACTTCTATTTTGTGTGAGTGTGTTTGTTGGAGGGAGCCAGTTTGTCATTATATATGACTATTAATTTCTGTTCTGGTTTGGTTTTCTGATTATGTTTTCTCTTCTAAATTCCTGTAGCATCCTATATAGTTTTAAAAAACCTTGGATTATATGTTTTGCACTTTTAAAAAAAGGTGCATTAGGGGCTGGGGATTTAGCTCAGCGGCAAAAGCGCCTGCCTCGCAAGCGCAAGGTCGTGAGTTCGGTTCCCGGTACTGGAGAAAAACCAAAAAAAACCCAAAAAAAACAAAAAAAGGTGCATTTAAAATGTCTTTAACTCAGCACCTTGAAATTATCTTTTTACCTTTCCGTTTGTCTGTCTTTTGTACATTGAGATTCATTGATATTTTTAAAACTTATTCAACCAGTGATGAATGTTGATTATATATTTTTATAATCCTGTCCTTTTATACTGTAGGTGATAAGAGGTAACTCAGATGTGGATTTTGTCCTAGGAAAACTTAGTCATGAGGGGGATGGTATATATACGCAAATAGTTCTACATAAATTAGTACGCCATACATTCTGTATACACTGGAATACAGTAAGAGATGCCCCACTAAAATGGTGTGAAGTTTCAAAGGATGTTCTTGACCAGAGTATTTTAAAGATGTTTTCTCTGGTGGAACTGACAGAGTTCAGAAGCCACAGCTTCTTGTGCTTACAAAGCTAACCCCTGGCCCTGTGTGTCCTTGTGGGGTCCTTGACGTGGCTCCCTTTGGTGGCTTATTGCCCCCAACTCTCCTGGCAAATACAATGGAATTTTCACCTTTTGGTTATCAGACTAAAATTTTTGAATGCTGATGGCCTTACACAGCAAACGGATTCATTTCAATACTTTGCACGTTTGATTAAGTAAAACAATCATTTTTAAGTGTTAAAGTGGAACTGGCCTCAAGCAGTACAGTTTGGAAGGCCTGGTGGCTTGCTTAGGGGGCTGTCCTAAATGACAGCTGAGACCACCCACCAGCTCAGCCCTCCGAGTCAGGATGTGGAACCCCGTATCCTTCTTGGCACCCTGGGATTTGCTGTTGGGGCAACCTGAATTCCCTCTTTCCCCAGATGCCAGAGTCCTATGCGTGGTAAAGCCATGAACTTCTCCAGTCATCAGCCGAGCAGTCTAGGAGGGGTGTGAAGCTGTAGCTGCTTCTGATGTTCTCAGCCTTCATGTGGCATTTAGAGGAAGATCAGCTCGCTCTTTGTTGCATTCTTAGCCTTACTTCATGTCAGTCATCCCGCAGATGGTCCCGAGCGTGGGTCATTTTCTTTACTTCTCTTCAGTTTCTGTTGCGGTGAAGGTGTCCAAGCCTCACTGCTGGGCCAGCCTGCTAAGGGGAAGCCTGCCCACACTGGTTTGTGCCAGCGGTAAATTGTTATCTCAGAGGTCAATAAGCACAATGGAGGAATTTGCTCACTTTATGTAACACGAGATTTATGTGATTGAAAGTGCCAATCTTCTTTTAGCATTTCATTCTGCCAATTTGTGCTGAATAATTGAACTTGAATTAAATGACCTCATAAATTGAGAGACTAGCCAAACCCAGACTGAAATATACTAAATACATTTCAAAGAGCTCTTCAAAGCCCCTGGAGAAATAGGGGGAAG